GAATCAATTATCCCTTGTTATGTGATTTAATTGCACAATTAATTAACTAATAAATAACTTCTCTCTCTCTTTTTCTCTCTCTCTCTGTGCTTCTGTACTATCCTCTCATCATAAATTCATCTTGAACCATCAACAGCTTCCGAACCTAATTTAAAAGTGCGATCAGCATTAAAGCAAAAAGTTATCGAACGGAGAAGTAACCAATCACCTCTTCTCAAACGTAAATTACCTAAAAATCGAGGTCGACATGGTCCAATATCGACTGGATCATCTTCCCTAGTGCATCAACATTCCTTGTATGGATCTATCACCGAAGGCTCAGCTTCGGCTCCTGTTTCCGCATCATCATCAAGTATGCATGAAAAATTAATCACTTCTATTTACTAATTACAATTAATGACAATTTCACAACACGATACATATAATCCTTTTTTCATATTTCATATGTATTGTTTATCATCTCTCTCATTCTCTCTCTGTCTTAGTCTGTATCATTGCCGAATGATACACATCTAAATATAATTCATCTCTCATGCTCATCATGATGATTTTTCCTCAAGAAATTCTTGTCAAGGTTGTAAACTTCAGGCCGATGATATTTTGCTTATGATTATCTTTATAGTTTACTAATTAACAAGACTTTCTCTCTGATTCTAATTGAAAATCATATGATTCAAATCAACAAGTAATCAATTGACTCAAAGTCAGTTAGAAATTATCATCATCAACATTAATTATGTTCCAATATTTTTCCATTATATTAATCAATATTATACTCTCTTGTTGATTAATATAATAATAACATTTCTCTTTCATTTATTATCAGCTGACATGATGATTAGCCTCATAGTTTCGAACAATAATTAACAGTAATTATTAATCAATTAGTGTGATTATAATTTTTTGATCATCACTTTAATCGTGAAATTTTCTCTCTCTCCATTAATATGGTTCTTTGACTTTCAAGTTCATCATTATATCTCCATGATTACTCATTAAACAGTAACAATTCTGATGAGTATTATATTTCTTGAAGATAATCAAGGAAAATAAAAAGAACTAAATTTCCCAAACCAAAATAGTTAACTGATACAGCTTTGAACATTTAAATTGTTTAGCCTTGATTACGAAAAAAAAATCGAAGTATATTTATATCTTATTACATTTACAGTTATAATCTAAGCTTGAAAATCGCTCTGCTTGTATTTTAATCACAATGATCAAGTTATTTTCAGTCTAATATCCTCTTCAGCTGATTTAAAATACTCACTGAGTTTTCAGGAGGAGGTGAAGGTGGAGAAACTTAAATTAGAACTATTTTGGGATAAACTTGACACTCTCAAGGTTACAGATCATATGTTTCATATTCACAGTGATGATCATTTTCAGATAATCAAATGTAAACAATAATTTACCAAGAGAAACCAGAATCACCTTTTGGAGATGAAAACATTAATTACTATTACGGAACTTTACTGTTATTGGTTTATTGTTTATTGTTTCTGGTTATTTGGCTGTTTCCTGCTTTCTGATAATCATATGCCCAATTTCGTCTAATTTTTAATCAACTGATTAGTTTATTAATCGTTTCTCACCTGAAATTTTTCAAAAAAAAACAATTAGCTAGACGATAAAGTCAATTAACTAGCAGAATCAGTTTTCCCAGTCGATCCATAACTCTTCATATCGATAGTAATTAACTCCTGGTCATAGTGAAATCCCTTTACCAAAATAGCAAATGAAAACAAACAATTACAATTATGAAACTGGTTAATGATTAATTTTTATCAATCAAATCGCTAAATACTATAAATTGAAACAATAGTCAATATTGTTTACAATTGTTGTTCAGAGGAAAATGATCCTCATCATTTTACAGATAAATCCTTTAAAGTAAAATGATTATTTTGATGATTGGACAATTCCAACATCATCATCATCATCATTCTGATCATTTCAATTCTTATATTGTTTTAAAATTTCAAAGTTTCTCCTTCCATCATCATCTTTATCATGTGTTTTTAGAACTTTTTACTTTTCGTCAAACATCATCATCATCATCACCATCTTCATCTTCATCTTCATCATCCTTATCATCATCTTACATGTACTATCTTTTGCCTCTATTTTTATAAATACAAGCAAACGTCCTTGAGCGATTACTCTGTTTACCCATAAATTGTTGCAAAAATGGGATAAACATCATCATAATTATAATCATAATCATCATGCTCATTCTCATTGAACGACATTGAGCTTTTTTCCTTAGCATTTCAATGCCTCAGGCTCAATCAGAATTAAAATATTATCGTTATCATCATCAATATAATCAATGATTTCTCACATAAGCTAATTTACTAGCAGCGCTAATTACTAATTCAAAATTCAACAATCAACTGATTGATTGTTTTTCCTCTGTAATTTATCATCACATCACTTTTATAATTAAGGTGAACGACTTTAATTGTGTTAATTGTTGAACTTTAATAATTTCTAGTAATCAATTAACAAAATTGACTTTAATCACAATAAGGTCAAGAAAAAATTTTCTTAATCTTGTTTACAAAAAATCACTAACTAATTATTCAAGTTAATTTAATGTTTTTTTTTTAATTTACTTTCTAATGATTATCATCAGTTAATTATTTTTTTTGTTGTTTTCAACTCTTTAATTTTTCTCTTCTCTTTAAATTTCATTTTCATTACAATTTAATTTTCTTATCAGCGTAACAATTTGATTCTCAGCATCACCATGATTACAATAACGATTGATTAATTTTAGAAAGTTAACTTGATTACCTTGATTTTGATTCTAAATTTTTTTCTGTTTCCTTATTTCCATCTCAATTATACACATACACTTATTTATACTCTATCATTATTGTAAGAAATTAATGTGTCATCAATTAACTTGATTATCACATTTCGTTAAGGACGTTCAGACGAAACAATCTCAACGTTGACAACGAAACGATAATAAAAACGAGATGAAGATCAACTAATAATATAAATATTCTGATTATATATTAATAGTATTGAGGGAAAAAAGGTAATAGAATTTAAATTGTAATTATCTAACTGTAAATACTTAACAACAGAAAAGTGAATTACAATTAAAATATTAATAATAAATTGGAAATGTAATTTAACCAAACATTGACATTGAAAATGAAACATTGTTACATAATTGAGGAATCAGTTAATTGTCTTGATTATCATAATTAATTATTAACTGTAGTTTATTTTAAATAGTAATTGTTGTTATATTATGTATCGGATTTTAAAGTAATTATTTTAATCAAATTTTTAAATTGTCAACCTTGAAAATTGTAAAAAAAAAGAAAACAATTTGATACTAATGCTTTTTGATTAACAATTTACCTTGATTATTTTTTCAGTTTAGTTAATTTGTTTTGTGATTCAATTAATTGATGATTAATTATGATTTGGTTTTGTGAATTAAGAGGAAGACTTAATAATGATGATGATTGAAACAATTTGATTTAAATTGCATCGGTTTTTTTTTGTTAAATCATCAGTTAAGATTAATTGATTTACAGGTTTGAGAAAATGTTTCCTTTCTTGATTATCTTTATTAGATTTACGATTAACAAGAAAACAACTATAATTAGTTAATTGTAATCAGAAATCATCAAATAAGTGCAATATGATTACAATTAGCTAATCAACTGTTATAACAATTGTTTGCAAAATCTAATACAATTATAAATAACTGAAAAGAAAAGTCAACTCACTAATCAATTGATCGTTAAATTATCAATGATTATCACAATCAACTAATTCTCAATTGGATTGTTAATCATGACCAATTTTCGATTCAAAATAGAAAATTAATTTTACGTTATTTAATTTCTACATTGATTATTGTTTTGATGATCAACTTATGATATATTTACCTGTTTCTCGATTGGCCAATAATCATAACCTTACCTTGATTAGATTTGATATTTTTGTTCATTTTATAATGATTTAGTGTCTTTCTCATTCATTATTGTTATTATCATGATTATTATTACTTTTATGATTGTTTCTTATGTGAGCATAAAAATAATACGAGAATTGTAATATTATGAGAAACTAAAAATACATTTGACATTGAAGTTATTGTTACCATGAAGTATTAGATATTTTGTCTGATCGTTTTTCAAATATATCATTTTAATTTATATTTTCTCGTCTTATTGATGATATATTTTCCTATCCATTGATTTGTTTGTGGCTTCGTCCTTATCATCATAGTTAAAATGATTATATGCTGATGATATTTTCGCTCATTTCTCTATGGACATTTTCTTATTGTCTTCCTGTTGATTGTTGATGTTTCTCTCTCTCTCTCTTTCATTGCTTGTTGATTGTTGTTGATCATGATGAATCCATTGAAAGATAAATACCTGTTTTCATTTCTCCATGGAAAGAAAAAGTAGCAAAGAATGTTTTTTTTTCACTCTAACCTCTGTTACTATGTATATTTCAAATTGAAAGCTTCATTAATCCCATCGGTTTTTCAATCTCTTTCGTTAGTTTCTTTCTTTTTTTCTCTCTCTCTCTTAAAAAGTAGGTCAGGTTAGGTAAGTTGTTATAATAAACTCTATAAAAACCAGGATTTTTACTGGTAAAAAGGTAGGGAAAAGTAAGGTTTCTCTTTCTTTTTCACTGTTACACTCTGTTCTGTACTTGCCTCTACCATATCATCAGACATTGATAATTTAGTTTCTATTTATAACTTTCAGTGTTGTTGCTGCTGCTCAGGTTCACATATACATAGACATTTATACACATACAGAAAGATATAAACATGTACATGAACATGCATATACTCATAACAATATTATAAAAGAATGAGATTGAAATGATGATGATGATGAAAAAAGAAGTAAAATGAAGAAAAAAATCTATTGATATAAACTTTTCTCTTCCTATGATGATGACAAAAAATATGATGGTGATGATGAAAAACAATTACACCAACATGAAGAGTATCTTCCTTATCCTTGAGATTTATTGTTTACATTATGGCTACATGATTAATACAATTAAATAGATAAAAAAAAATATCATATCTAATTGATGAGAATGATAATTAATAATTAATAAGTTGAACAAGAGTCACAATGATTTTCCTTTGATTACAATCATTGAAATTAGATTGATATTTTTTTGTCCTTAAAAGGGGAAAGTTAATTAATTTCATTCCGAGTGATGTGACCTTAATTGTAGCCGTAATTATAACAGATAATTTGATTAGATAACAGGGACGCAGATTTTAATGGTTAAGGTTAAAGACCAGAGTAAATTGTTGGTTAATTGCGAATTGAGAAATATGGAAATTTGTTCCTTTTGCTTTCCAAAAAGGGGTTAACACAATAACAACACTTTCGTTTTCTTTTTTTTGATTTTTTCACAAAATAATCAAGATTAATTACGATGCGAGTTAATGCTTTGGATTTTTTTCGTCTTTTGATTGGACATAATATCAGGACCGATGAGTAGAATCAATAACAGGGTACATTCATTTGATGAACAATTGGATTAAAAACATTGACACAGAAATACATTGAGAAAAAAACAGACTAAAAGATAATAACCAATACAAAAAAAAAATGGGAAGAATTTGTTGGCTTTTGATTAGAACTCGGTCTTTGACCGTTATCAGTTACACATTGATCTAAGATCCATTAAAAACAAATGACATAAATTATTGATTAAAAGGGTTTAAAATGTTGATTTGTTTGGGTTCTAGTGGAAGTTTAACTTCCTTTCTGACTTCTTATAAACTGTAAGAAATGATAGAAAAGACAGAAATAGAAGCATGATTAGAAAATTGAATTAGTTGTTACAATTCAAACAATTATTAATGAGTAAATTACTTACTTTCGATAATATTGTCATAAACAGAGTCGTTAGTAGCTTCTTCGAGGTCTTGGACCATAACTACCAAACTATGAAAGAGCATATCGTCTTCTTCCGTGAGTCTCAATTCTTCACGAAAGAAGTGTAGAAGATCTTGAATATTAGAGTCAACCACTTCATGAGGGATTGACTTATCAACGGGTGATTTACTCCTGACTTCATCGCCCAGTTCAGCCATATGAGTAGTGAGCTTGTCACATTCTGTTTCTAAAAAGAGAATCAAGAAGAAATCAAAAGAAAAAGCAATCAAATTAGAAATGTAAAATTTATCAATAATAATAAGAGAGTATAAACAAAGGGAAAGAAAAGCTAAAAATTGAATAAAACCTTGAGTGAGAGAAAGAGAGAACAGAAAAGAAAGGGAAAGAGTCAATTCTTAACTCTTTTTTTCTTTATTCTTACCTAATACTGTCTTTTTGCTCTTTTTGTTCTTCATGCGTTCATTGTAGATAGCAATCATGTCTGCTTTCTTACCAAGCCTGGCTTCTTCGGCATTTCCATTTCTTTTGATATATTGCATATCTGCCATATACTCTTGTCGTTCTTTAGTTTCAATACATTTGCGACATTTACAGTCTCGATGCTTACAATGTCGCTTATGCCCTAAAGAAAAAAAAGAAGAAAAAAAAGAAGAAAAAAAAATGCGAGAAGAAAAATATTAACCCTAATGTCTCATTGAAAATGGAAGAAGATTAAAAATTTGTTAATCTTACCTTTGAGTAAAACTTTGATTCCGTGATTCAAGCATATAGCACAATTAGGTTCTCGTTTCTTTTTCTTCTCGTCATTCATGATAGTAGATGATTATAATTAAAATAAATATCAAACAAATATTATGGCACAATCAAAACAGAAAATTAATTCTTAACAAACACAACAATCAAAGCGACTCAGTTATTGGAAAAAGACTCGAGCGCCTCCACTGGTTGTGTAAAGTTTTCCAACTAACGTGAATTGTGAAGAGCTGAATTTAAATAAACCCTAACTCAGAGTCTCTTCTTGTAACCAGAATATAAAATTACATTTGTAACAATTAGAAGAAAATTAATCATTCTAATGAAATTAATTAGCTGATGGAAACAAAAAAAGATATTCTCTGTGTATTTATGACGAATGGATTTACTGTTTGACTTTTCTTTCTTTACCATTGGTCTGTTGTTATCTAATCTTAATCTAAACTAATTGAAATCGTTTCAAGTTCCCAATCAATTGATTAGCAATTTGTCCACATCCAAGTGATAATTAAAGATAAAGACCTAATGATGAAAATGATGAAAAAAAAGTTCCCATTGTGTTGGCCTGTATTTTTTTGTTCTTCATGTTTTCTGGGTCTTGGTTCCTTGTGATTGTTGAACCAGAATTTGAATGTTTCTATTCACTTTCTCTCTCTTTCTATTTTCCTCCTTTTTCATCCTTCTTTTCCTCTCATTTCATGATGATCATGCTGATGAAAAGTATTATAAATATAGAGAGAACACCAAGTACATGAAGAAGAAGAGAAAAATATTCTCCTGAACCTTTTATTCCTCTTTCTCTTTCCATGTCTATTTATACATTTGGCCTTTTCTATTTATAGTTCAATCTATTTTTCTCTTTCTTCTTGCCTTTGGTATTAATCTGAGTCTTACTTATTTTCTCTTTCTTTTTCTCTGTCTATCTTTTTACTTCTTCTTCTTCCTTTGATGCTGTTGTTCCTGTTATTTTCTTCATCTTCTCCATCCCCTCTCTCTCTCTCACTCACTTTTGTTTGCATCATCTCAGTGATACAAGAAAATAGTCCACCAACAAGTCCCTATGGAAGTTCATCGATAAAACCTTTGGATTCAGATAATTCAGGGAATTTGCTTTCTCATTCTTCGCATCCAGATGATTGTCATATAACTAATTTTATAACCGGAAATCATATTGACAGGGGAGGAGGAGGAGGAGGCAGTGGGAATGGTAGTCCTCCATTGCATTCGTCGTCGCTTCATCATTCGGGAGCCATTCTATCACATTCTTATGTCCATCCTCATCCACATCCAGCCACCACTCATCATGTAGCCTCAATCGATGGTTCAATTGGTCATCCGACGATAATTAAGTCAAACCATCGTCGATTAGGACGAACTCACTCAGCACCTCTTCCTTTAGGTCACCTTAAACTACATTCAGCCTCTTCGTCACCCGTCTCATCACTTACTACTTGTACCACATCTTCATCTCCCTCTGACCATCAATCGTCAACACCTCAACAAGTAACACCTTCATCATCATCCCAACATCATCGGAATCTTGTTAAACAACATATTAGGCAAACGGTGTTAACCCGAGCTTCAAGTAAACAACAACTTCAAAGTCAAAGTTTCGAAGAGGAAACAGAAGCGGCAATTGCTCAAGATGATATGGTTGATTCACCGCTGGGGGCTATGGGAGTTACATCATCTTCCAGTGGAGTGGGAACTATGGGATCAGCAGCATCTACACCTCCACTAACAGGATCGATATCCAATTTACCTGGTGGAAGCAGCATTCCAAGTCGAAAAGAAAGAATCAAACGCCAATACTCACAAGAAGCACCACCCACACCGGAAGAGGGAACATCTTCTTGTTCAATAAGTGGAATTGAGTCAAGTTATTCAATCGATTATTTAGCTAGTGGGAGTGGGTCAGGTTCGGTTGGTTCAGCGTCGAGTGGATGTAAATCTCGAGAAGCAACACCAACCGAATTGGGAGGAATTGTAAGAACGGGAAGCGGTGGAAATGGTAACACAAGTGGGGGAGAACCGATCATGATGAAACAATCGAGTCATGAACGGGAAGCATTCCTTGCCCAACAACGGGACTTGATATCACCTCAATTGCAAATGCCCCCAATTCAAGATCCCGCTTTATATGAGCAAATTATTTATCAACTTCAACAACAACTCATTTTATTTCAAGGACAACAACACAGTCAACCCTCCCCTCCGAATCATCAATCCTCTTCCTCACTGCACCATTCAAATTCATCCGTAATAACATCACATCCACACCATCCCTCACATGGACATCCACTTCCACCTCCACCACCACCGCCACCACCTTCCACTGTTGTTACTCATCATCACCCTCATCATCCACTCCATACAATATCATTGCTTCCAGAAGGAAATCAATATCCACAGATTCTTTCTCATTCCCGTTATCCATATTACGACTCAACTCGTCCACTTTCCCGAGCCTCATCAAGTCCTTTTGTAGCACTTAAATCATCGTCTTTGGAAAAGTCGTCATCTCTCTCACCACCAATTAACTCTAGAAAATCAACAACAGGCTTAGCCTACGATAATCTTATGCTCAAACATCAATGTTGCTGTGGAGATAATTCCTTCCACCCTGAACACTCTGGTCGATTACAATCGATTTGGGCTCGTCTCCAAGAAACTGGTCTTGCCTCAAGGTGTGAAAAGATTCGCTCACGAAAAGCATCACTAGAAGATGTCCAATTATGCCATTCAGAAGCTTATTCCTTACTTTTTGGAACTAGTCCTTTAAACCGACCAAAACTGGATGCCGCCAAATTGGCCGAGTTACCGATTAAATCTTTCGTTATGTTAGCCTGTGGTGGGATTGGCGTCGATTCTGATACAACTTGGAATGAGCTACACACCGCATCGGCTGCGTTAATGGCTGTTGGCTGTGTATGTGAATTGGCCTTGAAAGTTGCTCAAGGTGAATTGAAAAATGGTTTTGCCATTGTAAGGCCTCCAGGTCATCACGCTGAAGTTAACCAGGCGATGGGATTTTGTTTCTTTAATTCCTTGGCCATTGCAGCTCAAATGATACGAAAAAAGCACAACATGGAAACTATTTTAATTGTTGACTGGGATGTTCACCATGGTAATGGAATTCAGCAGATTTTTTATGACTCATCTCATGTACTGTACATTTCACTTCATCGTCATGATGATGGTAACTTTTTCCCCGGTACCGGTGATCCAACTGAAATCGGTATTGAAGATGGAACTGGTTTCAATGTGAACATCGCCTGGTCCGGTGGAATATCCCCCGAAACTAAAGGTGACGCTGAATATTTGGCAGCTTTTAGGTCAATTGTTTTACCAATTGCCAAAGACTTTGATCCGGAAATTATTCTGGTCGCTTGTGGGTTCGATGCTGCCGCTGGTCATCCACCACCATTGGGAGGTTATCAAGTGTCACCAGCATGTTTCGGCTGGATGACCAAACAATTGATGAAATTAGCTAACGGAAAACTTGTCTTAGCATTAGAAGGAGGGTAAGTGGTGACTTGTTTTTCCTTCTAACAATTTGAAACACAATCAAACTGACCATTTTAATTGTTCACTTATTGTTAATCTTTCAGGTACGATTTACCTTCGATATGTGATTGTGCCCAAGAAAGTGTAATGGCCTTGCTCGGGGATGAGACAACTCCTATTAATGACCAAGAGCTCAATCGACAGCCATCTCAACAGGCCATTGATACACTTAAAAAAGTTATTAACATTCAAGGTAATTTAAATTTGGATTTTAATTGTTGTTATTTTCTTGTTTACATTGATTAATGTTTACTTACACTTTACCAAGTTTCATGATTATATTGTGTTTAATTTTTGATAGCAATTTACATCTAGAGGCAACTTTAATTGCTAAGGGTTACAAATGATGATATTCTTGTTGTATAGTTAATTTAAAACAAAAAAAAATTTGATTGTAAATTTGATTGAGTTGTAATTTAGTGAATAAGTAAATTACATAACTTGATATTTTACATTCATCTTAAATGATTTACTTTATAAACAAGTTAATTATTTTTGAGGATAACAATTAATAGCAAGGTAATCCAGATTTTACAACAATTTGAGGTTTCACTTAATCAAATTAATTTTAATTTCTTTCATTGATAATAACCAAAAATAATCAAAATCTAGTTCACCTTTTTGATTAAAATTGCTGAATGGAAACAAAAATAAACAACCTTGCAAATTGTTATGATTTACACTTTAATCAACATTAAAATGATTAAGATTATCAATGATTATAATTACAGTTAATCTGTTTATGTAATAAACAAATAAATTTTAATCATTATGATAATTTAAAAATACCGTTAACATTTTGTTTATCTGATTGATTATCATAATATTTAAAAAAATCATTTAGAAAGTGAAATTAACCATATTGATTGAAATTTACCAGCAATTAAATTCAATAATAATAATCAGTTAATTGTTTTAAGATCATCATATAACCTTGTTTCATAATGAAACTTTCATTTAACATGAAACAATTTACAATATTTCTAGTTTCATTATGATTAATTCAAAATTAACCATGGAACAATTAACTGATTTAGTTTAATGATGACTTTTCATTTTCATCAAATTTTCTTTTGTATTCAATTAATCATTAATGATACATTGTTTCTCTTTAATTGTGATTAAATTGTCAATTGGCTCAAATAGCTGCTCATTGGCCTGTAGTTAAACGTTACGCTCATCTCATTGAATGTTCACATTTGGAAGCTCAAGAAGCCGATAACGATGAGTTCGGAGCACCCGCCTCAGCATTGGCCTCTCTTACCATGAAGCATTTAAAGTATGTAATTAACGGTTAATTGTTGAACAAAATTAACTAATTAAAATGACAAACCTTTTTTTTTTCTCAATGAACGATCAAATAACTAATTGTTTATTTCTGTTTCTTAACCAACAATTAGTTCTCAACCTTCAAGTGAGGAACCAATGGATCAAGATGTGGATAAATGAAAATCTTAATCAACCAAAGTGATAGAAGCAATTAAAATAGAAAAGAATCTTTGTCAAAATTATAATCGAAAGTGATGTTTACACCATGATGACAATTTTGATTGCGAAAACAAATTGTTATTGGTTAAACTTTTTTTCATTTCTAAAGAAACCAGATTATAATCCAAAGGGAATATTTCCATTGCTTTAATTAACGATGACAATGATTAAATTTAATCATGGATATTAAATGAAAGACAACAAGGTGACACTGATAATAATCATTTCATGTGCATCATCATCATTGTTATCATTCATATTGTGTTGATTAACCAGACCCACTTGGTATGAAATCCACCACCACCACCACCTCCAACCACCAACCATCACCATCGTCATTATCATCAAGGTACATTCATATACGTAAACCGCAAGGTACACCAAGCAAGAAGGATAAAGATATTAATGACAATTAATAGCAACAATTAACCAACCAGCAAGTTTCTCATTGGTGAAAAACTGATCATCAACAACTACAAACCATTCACAACCGCACCCTCCAAAGATCATCTTATGCCAAAACACACACACTTTGCTATATAATTAATAATATTACTATTGTTATTATTATCATCATGATTATAATTACTTTTATTATTATTGTCTAATGTTTTAATTTAGATAATGATAATATTAAGACAACCTCCACTCTTGTTTAACAACAATCCCCTTAATCTGATCATCTATCAATCTACTACTCTAATCAATTTTAACTATTACCTCTATTTCCGTCTTGGTCAAAGTAATTGAAGCAAACAAGATTGACCCAAGAAGCCAATTAATTGGCTAATTAATATAAATATGATATTGTAACAATAACTTAGACTCGTAATTCGTATTAAGTGTTAATCACTGTCTCTCTTTCTCATATACAAAAACAACCAATTAGAAATACAATTAGCTAATTGTTAATAAGAAATCTTGTTTGCTTCTCTCTCTCTCCCTCTCTCTCTTTAATTGTCACAGTTTAAAAGTTAAATTACCAATTAATCTTTATTGGTAATCAAGATTTGTAATCTTAATCCTTTGAGAGACAAAAAGCTCAGTTAATCCTGCTAATCAAAATTTTCTACCCACAATTAATGATTAGCAATTCTCAATCAATCGGACCATATTTGTTACTTTATAGCTTCACTGTTAAAAATTGTCACCCAAAATCCATAACCAATCAATACAATAATGAAAACAATTTAAGTCAACAAAAAATTCACAACCAAATAAGAAACATAATTAACACTCATGGAAACTTGTTTACATATTATGCTATTTAATAAGAAGATAAAAAAAAACCAAACAATTATAAATATTATAAGATAATATCATACAATACAATTAATATATTAATCTATTGCTACAATTGATTGTTAATTAGCCTTTGGTTTTCCAAGAAAAAAAAGACAAGAATCTAATTCAAGTTCATCTTAATAGCCTTTGCCTTTCTCTTACACTCCCTGATTGTTTTCCTTAATTTGATAATATAAACTTAATTGTCTTGCCAGAAAAACTTTTCTCAATGAAGAATCAGAAAAAGTTTAAAATTGTAATTGAAATGAATCAACATCGAGATGAATGAATCTGCTGAACCCTCAACAACCACCAAGGAATCACCTTTGCATTTGACTAATTTGTTTAATTACAATTTACTTGAAGACAAAACAATGATTTGCCATCATCATCCTCATCCTCATCCGCATCCTCATCTAATATACATATGATTATATTTTGTTTCTTGTCTCTTTGTTCAATGTCAATACCTTGTCATCTATTTCCCACTCCCACTCTCATCTTGACACCACTTCCACCTCCACCCTGAGCATCTCATCATTTTCTGTATCTTAACTCATATTTTGTTTCTGTTTATCTTTTTCGTTCATTTCTCTTGTTTTCTTGGTCGATTGGCTTAATTGTCTAATTATCATTTCTATTACCATAATTATTATTATGCCAAAATTGTTAACAAACAAATAAGATTTTCTAATCATTGACACACACCTCTGATGATAATTAATGATGAAAAGATGATCAAGACTAAATTAACTAAGGAATCAACCAGTTTCTCTAATTATTTTACAGTAAACTTTAAGTTATTTTGTAATTAACGAAATGATTAATGTTAAATTTTTGTTCCCTTTGTAACAATCATCAACATAATTAATTGTTTTCGACGTTATCGATATTTTTGTTTTCCTTTCCTTTCTCCTTTTCTTTTATTATTTCTAATTGTTACAATTAACTTTAATGTTTACTGTAAAATTGACAGAATCACAATGCTAGTCATTGATTAATAATCTATGATAATTATTACGATTTCAATATAATTATATAAATATAAATATTATACATAAATGTAATTCAGTTTAAACATTTCGATTTCTTTCATTTTTCAATCAAGATGATTTCGAATCAACAATTTATTTTTAATCATCACAATTAGACTGCCCTTACCTTGTTGATCATCTGATTGTTTATTTTTTTCCTCATTACCTAATTGACTTTTTTTCCGCTGTTTTGTTTTATAAGAAAATACAATTAATCAATTTCCGATTCCAGTCATTTTTTTCTTAATTGTTTTCTAATGGATTACAATTAACCAATTGTCTCTCTCTCTCTCTCTCTCTCTTCTTAATATTAATGTAATATAAATGATGAATACCAACATTGTAAACAAACATTATATTGAATTTTCCTTGATCCGCTTTTCGTCCATAAAGAATCATAAACTGATAAGATTGTTAATTGTTTTCACAACAAATTAACTATCGGAGTTAATTGGGTTTTATTATCAAGATTTTTTCCGCAAATTTTATGTTCTTTTCATGACAGTGGGATAAACTTTTAATCCGAAATGAAATGAGAGTGGATAAGCTTTGTTTTTTTTGGTTCCATGATCAATTACAGCAATTAGAGTAATAAATAGAGATGAAAATAATGATTAGTATTAATCGATGGTCAAATTGTTGTTGGTCTTTTTTGACTTGATAAGAAAATATCGAATCAATAAATAATGTGGAATATAAGTCTCCTTTGAATAATATTACAATTCTTGTTCTAAGCTCTTATCTAAAGATGGGTAAAGATAAATTTCGTGATCAAATAATTAGATGGGTCATATTGTTGCCTTTTTTTTAAATTTGAAGTACAAGACCAGCGGCGGAAACATTATCACCTCCACCTCCAGTTTGTAAAACATTGGTGCAAACCAGAACAGGAGCCACACAGAATTGAATTTTCTGCTTGTTATCAAGAGTTTCTGACCAACAGGCTACTGGAACATTTGAATTGAAAACTATTCGTTGGATGTTTTGTTTTGAACTTCGTGTTGTTGAAAATGATTCATCCATGATTAGTCTCGCTTTCGCTGAGTCAATCTCATCAGATCCACATGTATGCCGATGTGAAGTAAGAGCAGCTTTAGCAGCGGCAGCAGCTGAATTTTTCCAATCAGAATTGGCATGAACTAGTATTGCTTGGAAAGCTAAAGTGTGAACATGAATCCGACTAATCCGACCATTTGTAAAGGAAAACATGGCCTCGTAAATGTCCCTCATTTGATCCAAAACTGTAGCAACTCGAGGATATGGATCAGAGACCAGAGTTAAATTGCCAAAGGTTAACATTTGATAAAGATTAGGTAATTCTTGCTCATTCATTCCCAGCGAGTCAACATGGGGCAATATCAGTTGAATAATATCACGAAGGATAGTTTCGTCTGAATAAGATGCCATTTCAAAATGAAGTTTGGTCTGTTTATTATCACCACGATGCTTGAAATTTTCTTTAATGTATGAACTAACTTTCTCCAATCGAGAGCGTTTCTTTTCACTATTTCCTGGATAACCTTCCATCATTTGTAAGCCTCCGATAACAAATAAATCAGGTTGAAAGTTATTCATTTGTCGGTGAAATATTTCCAATGATTTGAGAAGAGGATTATTATCATCATTATGTACAATAAAACGATTCGCTCTTGGAGATGAGTAAAGGTCTAACCAATTCTCTCCAGTTGGATATTCAATTAAAAGATGAACATCATCGGTTTCCGTTGAAGGTCCAGCGATGGTTATACTTGAGGTCAAATATTTACTCAATTGAGGTGACATATGAGCTCCAAGTAAGATATTTTTGATCCCTTCTTTAGCCAAACGAGAAGCCATAATTGGTGCATTACCTCCAATAGATTTTAAAATATCACAGGTTTCACTAATTGAGACAAGTTCTTTAAATAAACTTTGATTGTTAATGTACCTTTCAGCTGCAGCTCCATGGTTAAAATAGTAAGCAAATACTTCGAGAAGTTCATCTTTATCATCAACTGATACATGGTGAAAAGGATTAACTGGTGGTTTATGATGATTTAAAATTAAACATCGAGAAGGTACAACGTAGTCAAGACAAGCTCCATAACCAATGGCAATTTTAGCATTAACATTAACTTGACCATCTCTTTCAATAGCAAGTAAACTATTCAATGTATCCACCAGCCGCTTCTCAATTGGCCTGAATGATGAAATATATGATTGATAACAAAAGGCAATAAATAAAATTAAAATTGGTATCGCTAAAAATGATTTGGTCCATTGACGTTGTTTCGATTTTGCATGATAAACATCAGCCGATTGTTTCTTTTCAGTTGAATTGTTTCCGAGTTTGTTTTCACTAGTCATCTTTTCCGGTTTTCTGGTTAGTATATAAAGTTTATTGGTCTGAGAATATTTTTTCCAAAACAAAAAGCGAAAATATCAGCAAACCAAAACGACTAAAGTAAAACAGTAAAGGATAGGAAATGAGGCCAGTAGATGAGGTACTTTTTTCTCGTAAAAATTTACAGATTCATTTGGTGATAATTGAATCAAGGTTGATTACGTTGATCAGTTTTTGTTTACCATCGGCAAGGAGAGTCAATGGATTAGAAGCTGGGTAAGGGTTAAGGAGAGAAACAAAGATGAAAACCCAAAGAATTGTTTCAAGTTACGATGATACACTTTTCTGATCAATGATGAATCTCAATAAAAGATGGCACAATTTAAATCAATCGAGTATTACTCATGAGAAAAGAAAGAATAGAAAGTTGATCGATAATCAGAAAGGAAAAACAATTAAACTGAAAGATTAACATATGAGATAAACAAAAGAACAAACGTCGATTCACTGCGCCTCTGGTGGAAAAGAAAAGAAAACAACTTAAATTCTTTTCCATCTGTTGGATTGACTTTTTTTTCTGGTCTTTTAATATTCTAGTTGATTTGGTTTCCTTTTTTGATTGTTGGGTTATTTTTCTTTGAAATTATTGTAGTAATTGTTTTATTTTTTTTCTATTTTGTGATTGATTCGCGTTGAAGATGCCACCATCTAATTCTAACAGGGAATCAGCTCCTGATTTTAGTGATCGAGCTCGTGCAACATTTGCTTACCAGAAACTCTATTCCAACCGAAGTGGGATTAATGCAGTTTTCCTTGGTCCTCCTGGTTCTGGTAAAGGAACTCAGGCTCAACATGTTAAATCAACTTATGGTGTTTGTCAATTAGCTACTGGTGATATGCTTAGAGCGGAGGTTTCATCTGGTTCAGATTTGGGTAAATATGTTAAAAATATAATGGATTCTGGTAAATTGGTTGATGATGAGCTGGTAGTTAAACTGATTGATTCCAATCTGGATAAACCTGAATGTGGGAATGGATTTCTTCTAGATGGATTTCCACGGACTGTTGTTCAAGCTGAGAAGGTAATTTAACTTGAGTAATAATTGACATTGACTTGACATACAAGAGACAAAAGAAAAAAAAACAAGTCAAAACATGTAATACATGTAAACATCAACAATCTAGTGTAGTAATTATACAAAGGAAAATGATCATTTTTTTGGTAATAAGTTTCAGATGAGGATGGAGATGATTTTGATTTAAACTGATCAAAGATTAATTGTCTTATTATTTACCCAACTGTAGTTAACTGGTGCTTATGTGTGTATTGGTGAAAATACATTGGATTCTATGTTAACTTTTGATCAAGTTCAAAATATATCTCCAATCAAATCAACTCTTAGTGATTATCGAATCTTTAATCTCTGTCTTGAAATTGAGGCACCGACTTTAGATTTTAATCACCTTGTTATATGAACATAGGAAAACGTTATACTGGAGAAAATCTAACAATCATGACTCGACTTTTTTTATCTCGTTCTCTTTTCTCATTTAACTTGATTTTAATCTAATCATCTCTTTGTTTCCTTTTATTTTCAGTTGGATAATTTACTAGAGAAAAGAAATACTCAGCTTGATTCAGTTATTGAATTTAAGGTTAATGAAGATTTACTTGTTCGCCGTATTTGTGGTCGTCTTATTCATCCTTCCAGTGGTAGAACTTATCATGAAGAATTTTATCCTCCAAAAAAAGACATGATTGATGATGTGAGTATCAAATTGTTAACATTATTGTTTAATTCGAAATACTAATTCTATCTATTTTACTTCCTTGTTGGCTCATATATTTTTACAGGTAACTGGTGAACCTTTGATCCGTCGGTCTGACGATAACCCGGAGGCATTGAGAAAAAGACTACAAACCTATGATGATCTTACCAAACCGTTAGTTTCTTATTATATCAAGAGAGGAATCCACTCTTCAGTTGATGCTGATCTTAAACCGGATCAAGTTTTCAACCAAATTAAATCTGCCTTCGAAAAATCCAAGATGAAAGATCAAGTAATTTTCATCTAAACAACAATTGATTAATCTCCCATTGGAATCCAACACAAATAAAGCTCCTTAAACTTTCCTGTTGATAATTTTGATTGTTCATCTGAAAATCATTCAATTGAATTTTCACCTTAATCCAGTGCAAGGAATTAAACAAACGGCCGTTGCCATGATGATGAGAATGAGGATAATTATGGCAATTAAATTCCTCTCTCTCTCTCTCTCTCTCTCTCTCTTTCTAAATTTCTTTACTTCGTTTATGTTAATATTTTAAGTACAAATTTAATGCAATTAAATGTTGTCTACCTGTTGATTTAAAAATTAACCAGCTAATCAACCAATTCAACAACAAAAGGGACTCAACTAATTATTCATGTTAAAACAATTAAACAAAATGAAAGCATCATAATCCATGATTAATTAAGCAATAGATTGGTTTACCTTTTAATCATGTCAGTTATCTTGAATTAATTAAAATCCAATAGTTAATAAATTGTACACACAATCAATTGTTTTGGTATAATATTTTAATCAATCAAATAAAACAAAAATTGTCTTCAAAATCAATCTAATCTAATCAATTAATTTCCTTTGCTGGTCAACAGATTAACAAACTAAATTAGATAATCAGTTTGACTTTTCACAAAATTTAATTTCTCACTCACTTTGATCAATGTCTCTTCCCAATCACCATTAACGTTTTCCTCAGGATTTTAATTAAGTGTTTCTCTAATCATGATTTATCTCAATTCATTTGAATTTTCATGTTACTAATTAACTTTTCTTATATTGTTACAATTAAATTTGACACTGATCATGCAGTTATATTCAAACCTCCTAAAGTTAATCACAATCACCAAGCCTTTGGATCATCTGTTGCTATAACTAAATCAAAGGACAGAATTAGGTAATTTTGATCTGTTAATTGTTTACTAAATTAAAGCTACATTTGATTAACTTTTAGGTTTATCATTGGAGCTCCTAAAGGTAGTTCAAATTTAATTACAATTCCTCAAACTGGATTAGTTTATTCCTGTTGTTAATGATAACTGAAATCATCAGAATGTAACGAAATTCAATTAGACTTAAAAAGTAAGTAAGTTGATCAATGATCAAAAATCACAATTAATTGATTTCTCTTGGTTAGATAATAGTAAATTGGTTAAAATTAAGACTCCGTTCACTTCTGGGATGAATCTTGGATTAAATTTAGCCGTTGATCAAGTTAACAATTTAATCACAATCTGTGGTCACCTTCATGCTTACAACAATCAACAACCAACGGGTATTTGTTTCCTAGTTGATACAATTAACGATAAATTGGTGAAAATATTATCACCTCGAAGCAGAAAATGTAAGTAGACAAAGTAATTAACAATAAGATTTGATTTAATTACAATTTTCTACCAAACAATTTAGCATTGACTTCAAATTCAATTAAAAAAACGTCATTCAAATCTTTGCAATCTCATGAAATGTTTGGTTTCTCATCGACATTCAATCACAATTCTGATTCAATTGTATTCGGAATTCCTGGTTTTGATATTTTCCGTGGAGCAATATTATCACTAACCAACAATTTAAATCACCAACAATCAGCAAACATAACAGTAAACACAATTAAAGAATTGGATCAAGATTCTTACCTTGGTTATTCATTAGCAACTGGAATCTTTTTCAAATCGAGAGTTGAGTTAATTGTTGTTGGTGCTCCAAGAGGAAAACAATTAAAAGGCCAAGTAAGTTTAAAAATTATCTAATCAAATTATACGATTAATCAACAATTATATTGAAAATTATATTAGGTTATCATCATGTCACCAAATTCAGATGATTATTATGGTGAAATTATTCAAGATCTAGATGGTCATCAACTTGGTGAATATTTTGGTTACTCAATCCAATCAATTGATTTGAATGCTGATGGTTATGATGATTTACTAATTGGTGCACCTTTTTATATGCCTAAAAATAACCCAAGGGGCGATTGTGGTCAAGTCTATGTTTATTTCAGTGATGGTCAACAATTAAATGAGTCGCCAATCACCATTGATGGAGATTCACTTTTCGGATCTCGATTTGGCTCATCATTAGCAACAATTGGTGATTTTGATTCTGATGGTTTTAATGGTAATTGGAAATGTTATATGATTTTATTATCAACAATTAACTAAATCAGTGAATAAATTTTCTCTCTTAGATTTTGCTGTTGGAGCTCCACAGGAAAATGAAGGATCAGGTTCCGTTTATATTTATTCTGGTTCCACAATTAAATCAAGTAGAAAATATTTCCAGGTAAATGATACGATTTATAGTTGATTGATTGTTGATCATATGCTAAATTGTTTTTTAATTTGATTCTTACAATTCAAGAAAATCGATTCCTCTAAATCATTTGGATTGTCCAGTTTTGGGTCCAGTATTTACTCAACAATTGACGTGGACAACGATAATTGCCCTGACCTTTTAATTGGCTGCTCCATGTCCGATGCTGCCGTTTTATTAAGATGCCAAAGTTAAATTAGACTATCACAATTAACTGATCAACTTTATTGTAAATAATTGTATTTAATTGCTTTTAATTTTCAATTCTTCTTCGTCTTCTTAATCATCCAATTATAGCCATTAATAAAATTTATTTAATCTGTTTTGTCTTAATAGACAAACAAAGTTAATTGTGAATTTTGTCATTAATTTTTACTCATTAATTGGTGTCTTTGGTCACCATCAAGTCGTAGCAACAATTATGAGACAATTAATTTAACCATGGTTACTTTTAATCATTTTTAATATGCTAATAGAGGATACATTGGGTTTGTGATTAACTATTCATTGATAATCAACTTAATTAGTTGATGAAACTCGATGGATTTAAATGAAATCAACCAAGCAAATTAGGTTATGATTAACCTTGACACTGACCTTGTCCATATTCAACAATAAATTAGTGATCAATAAAAGATAATTATCATTTACATGGCATTAATATTAATGGTTAATTGTTAATTAGAAAAAAATTCGTAAATTAGTTAATTGTTACCTTTGTCTCTTTCCTGATAATCATTGTGATGACTTTTTCCCTTTTGGGTTAATTGTAATATGATTATTTTGATCAGTCTCAGTGATTGTTGTACATAATTGTGAATTTGTATCAACTTGGAAACAATTGATTTGATCACTATGATAATGGCTGTAAATGTAATGTTGATTACATGATTTGGATGATCAAATTGATTAAATTGTTTCCCTTCTAGAGGTGAGAATGGATTAAACTGTGATTAGCTAATTACAGGCGATCCAGTTTAACTTGAAAATAATTGCTCTCAAACGGACATCGCACACCGAAAGGATCAATATGAACAAATCGATTTAACCCTTTTCTTTAGTTCCATCGATATTTTCGAGAAGAATGTGTTTGAATAACTCGTCAGAAGTTCGAGTTAAATCATAAATAGTATTTGGGTCGACATTTCTTTCAACACCGACCAACGAATATTTGATTGCTTGGAATGGTAATCGCCTGATGAACTTTTCGTCGATTGTAAAACAAAATTTCTCAGGGAATTTATATGTTACTCCCCAATCGAGGAAAAAGACTTCAACCAATTTCTCTTCAGGCAAATGTTGAATCACTTTATTAATTATTCTAGAAAATGATTTTGATCCTGAGTTCTCAACAATTCCAATACCAAGACAATTCTCGATAAATGCTTTCATCGGCGTAAATTGTAATTTAGATAAATCTTTTTCGAAATTTTTTTAAGCATTTGAAATCAACTGAATTAAACTTATCAAGTTAATATTTATTAATATTATGATTAATAGATCGGAATCTCTTTTGTTTAATATCAGAAAAAAAATCGAAATTGATTTTGATCTCGAGTGGATTTGAATTGATTAATTGTTGATACTTTTGATTTACGAAGCAATTAAAGGTGATCAATTTCAACTTTTCATGGTTTGTTAATTGTCTAATTAAGTATCTACAATCAAAAATAAATTGAAAGTCACGAAGCTCAAATAATCAGTTAAGTTTAGATCTTCAACAATTACAATTAATTTCTTTGATTGTGTGCAAAGTTATGATCAAATTAAATAATTCATAGCATTCATAAATCTCAAACAAAGCATAATTAATGAGAGATTAATTTTTGAATGTAAAACAATTAAGATGAGATCATAAAATGAATCTTGATTGGATATATCGTTAATTTTGTATAATCAAATTTTGGCGATTAATTAATGGTCCATAGTATTTAGGACAATATTGATGAAGGTGAACAATTAATCGAGATTAGGTGAAGGATAAACGATAACAATTAATTAGGACCCATGATAATTAATATCAATCATCAGAGGGAGCAAATGATTAGAAAAAGTTGGATCAATTCTGTCAGAATACTTTTTAATTGTTATATAAGAGAATCTCTAGTCTACTCATTGAGCTTAATTGCTGTTTGGACTTTAATTGTAATTGAGTTTGGTACAAAGTTTAACTGGAATAGTTCATCATTTGTGGTTAATTGTGAACAATCAAGAATAAGTAATGATCAGACTTGGATGTGAATACGATTTCCTTTTCCAAAAGTAAGTTGATACTTTTTTCTTGGAGTTTTTTTTATCTAAATTTGATTTCAATCCGTTTTAATCACAGTCTCTAATTACTTGATTCTTTTTTTGATTGTTGATTATGCCTTTCCACTTTGAATGAATTCACTTGATTGTCAGGTCTATTTGATCAATTAAAATTGTCATTTGCTAGTGAATATATAATTACACCTGAATGACCATGAACACAGTTGGTTGACCATAATTCTTGATTCTGATTGTTACATGAATAACTCATGTTAATTTTTTGTTGTTATTTCGCTTTAATTATGATCATTGGACCGATTGAAACAATGGTTCATATTTTGATTACTATTGATTACTAATCTAATACACATGATCACCGTGATAATTAGAGGTTATGATCAGTTTCATATCATTATTTTAAATCAACTGAACTGTTCATAGTATTATTTTCATATTCATCGTGGTGACAGTTAGATGGATTTTTTTTAATATTGATCTTTAATTATAATAATTGAGAGTAAATTAGATTAATTGTGATTTTCCAATTTGATTAAAAAATTTGTATCATTGAAAATGTTTAGATATCAAAGAGACGCTACTGGTTGGAAGGTCCTTCGAAATGGTTACGTTCATGATTCAGACAAAATAGAGAAAGCGGTCAAATTGGTCGGTAAAGATGGACTTTTACACTATGATCAAAGTAGAGTTCGTGTGGCTCTGTTTGGTTTAGGTCGAATTGGAACAGTTTGGATTGATCGTGTCTTGAAAAATCCACGACTTCAATTGGTCTATTGCGTTGAATCTTGTGTCGAACGTGCAAATTATTTCGAGTACCTGTACAACCTTAAAGACGTAAAGATGATTCACCCTAATTGTGCCGACGAAGTTTTTAGTGACCCCGATGTGGATGCTGTAATCATCAGCACTCCAACGGGACTTCATGAGTCCCTAACTCTTAAATCTTTGAGTTCTGGAAAAGCGGTCATGTGTGAAAGGCCATTAGCCGAGCGCATCGAAGCCATTGAAAAAGTGTTCAGATTAGCAATACAACGAAATCTTCCTGTGTTAACTGTTATGAATCGACGGTTCGATCCCGCGTTTCGTATCGTTCGACATCGTGTCAAAAAGGGAGAGATCGGTACAATTCATGGGGTTAAAATGTGTTCCCGAGATTCACTTCGTCATTCAGCTTATAAAGGATCGACTAATATTTTCCTGGACTTAGCGATACATGACATTGATCTGATCTGTTGGATTGTTGGTGAATATCCGAATGTTGTTATCGCCACGGGGACAGCTTTTGATCCTGAAATTCGAGATTCAGGCGATTACGATACTATTGTTGTGGTTCTTAAATTTACCTCTGGTGTTTTAGGAACCATCGATATGTCTCGATCTTCTGTTTATGGTTATGACCAACGACTCGAGGTTTTCGGTTCTAAAGGTCTGTTAACTGGACCTTCAACTCGACCAACTTATGTTACTCTAGATTCTGAATCGGGATCAACTACAGTTCCTTATCATCATTGTCATATTTCCCGATTTACTGAATCTTATACTAATCAATTAGAACATTTTGTCGACTGTATCAAAGGTAAATTATAAACCTCTCATTAGCCTAATACTAATTAACGAATTGCTTTTTCAGGTTTGAGCGCAATTGAAGTAAAACCAATGGAGGTGATGGCGGCCACTAAAGTAGCTCAAGCGTGTAAGGAATCAGCTCGAATTGGAAAACCGATTGAATTGACCTGGAAGGAAAGTTGGGCAGAAATTAACGCCAACGAAGAATAATCTTATTAACAATTAACCTCAACTGTTAGAAATGTTTCCCCTTTAAATTGTTAGTAATCTGATAAATTTAAATCGCGAATCGAGAATTAAATTATCAATATGATCTTAATTTCTTAGCTCGTTGATTTAATGATCCAAAAGTATATCCTAAACTGCCAAATACTAGACATATAAGTATTGTGACTATTCAAAAGCTTCATGTAATTGAATTTCTGTTAACAGAGTTAAAATCTAAATATAATTGCAATTAGACTTGTCGAGATTCTCAGATTATCAATATCATAATGTTCACGAAAATAAAAAATTCGAATTTTAAACTTGGCGCCTTCTTTGTTTTCCTGTGAAATGTTTACATTTTTTCAGTTTTTTCTTGGGGTTGAAACTCAACCGTTGAGTTTAATTAACTCACTTAATTGCGTTTTAATTGTGGTTTTAAATGGTTAATTTTGTTGATTTCTTTTCAAATTGCAATACTTATTAATCAAAGGTAATTAATGGTCATTAAATGTTACTTTTAATCCAATAGATTTCCTCATTAGAACTGTTTTCCCATTCATTTAATTATTTTCTCTCCAATTTTTGTGTTTTATCAACCGATTGATTAATAATTATTATTTCTTTTATTTAATAGATTCGGTTCCAGTGATGAAATATTTCTATTGGTTTTGGCTCCTGATATGTTGTCTCTTAAGTCGAAACAGATGAGATTTACTTTGAACCATCTAGAAGAATGAAATTTTATTTCTTCTTCTCATCTTCTAATATCAAGAAGCAAATCAGATTGATCGTTAAATTTTCACTCTATTTTCTTGTCTTCTTGGCTCTGCTGGAAGCAATCTATTTCTTGTTTATCAATATATTCTCCAATAGAAACTCCGACAATGGATATGATATTGACCATTACTATGAACCTTTCAGATTAATCGATCCAGAAAATAGTGAAACAATCATCATTGGCAATACTCGGCCAACAGCAATTGAAACGGTGAAAGGATGTAATCATTTTAACTGTTTCGATGTTTATCTTTGTGATCCAGATGATGGTCGATTAAAAGTTTACCTTTATCCAATCAAAAGATATCAAGACAACGGTGGTTTAGATATTTCGGCTCAATTTACTGAGGAATTTCATCAACTATTGAAGGCGATTCAAGAAAGTGATTATTTTGTTGATGATCCAAGATCGGCATGTATATTTATTCCAACAGTTGACACTTTAAGTCAAAATTATTTGCGACCTGAAGAAATTTCGAAAATTTTTGCTTCTCTATCTCATTGGAATGACGATGGAAGAAATCATCTCATCTTTAATTTTCTTCCATCCTCTAATCCTGATTATAACCATCGATTAAATATTAAACTTGGAAAAGCGATGATTGCCTCAGGAGGTTTCGATAGTTGGTCTTTCCGTCCACAATTTGATTTATCAATACCAGTGTTTAGTCCTTTTAGTAATCAATACATTTTTCGTTCACCCGATGATGAGGTCAAATTAACCAGTTACGGTCGAAGACATTGGCTTTTAATGTGCCCACAAATTAATCTTTTTATTAATCCGGTTGCCAAAAAAATTTTAACCAAAATGGAGGAAGACAACTCTGATAAATTAATCCTTTTAGAATCTCAATGTGATCTGACAGTTAATATATCTTCCTGGAGGTGTAATAACCAAAGAAATTTGAAACTAAAATACCCTGAGATTTTAACCTCTGCCGATTTCTGTTTATTCATGGAAACGCCATTTTTAGGATCACCATTTCTCAGCGATGCTCTCATGATGGGCTGTATTCCGGTGATAATTATGGACAATTATGTGCTCCCCTTTCAAGATAAAATCGATTGGCGAAGTATATCAATCAGAATTACCGAACATGCTTTTCATCGTTTGATGAACATTTTAAACGATATATCAACCGATCGTATCACTGAGATGAAGGAGCAAGGGGTTTCTATTTGGAGACGATATTTTAGCTCAATTAAATCGATTACATTGTCAACATTATCTTTGATCAATGAAAGGATATTCCCACAATCGGTGATTACTCGATCTAAATGGAATCATCTAAAAATCGGTTCCCATTTAAAACCTCTTTCTCTGATTAACCCAAAATTATCATCTAGACCTTATAAAGGCTTCACAGCGGTGATACTCACTTACGACCGAGTGGAAAGTTTGTACCAAGTCATTCATCGAGTTGTTCAAGCTCCAAGTTGTGTGAAAGTTTTAGTGATTTGGAATAATCAAGAAAAAGACCCTCCTCTTGCCGACGAATGGCCTAAAATTAGCGTTCCGTTGAAAGTGATCAAAACTAAAAAGAACAAATTATCCAATCGATTCTATCCATTTAAAGATATCGAAACTGAGGCCATTCTTGCCATCGACGATGATATTATAATGTTAACACCAGACGAACTTGAGTTTGCTTTTCAAGTATGGAGAGAGTTTGCTGATCGAATCGTTGGTTTTCCTTCTCGGGTTCATCGGTGGAATAATTTTACTCATAAATATCGCTACGAGTCTGAATGGACTAATGACGTTTCCATGGTTCTAACGGGAGCTGCTTTTTATCATAAGGTTTGTTGCTTAATTGATTTAATTGATGGAACCTTTCAAATCAATGTTTTCTAATTGTTGTTTCTTTCATAGTTTTACAATTATTTATACACTTTTGAGATGCCAAAGGTAATCAAGGATCAAGTAGATGCTCAGATGAATTGTGAAGATATCGCGATGAATTTTCTTGTCTCCAATGTCACCGGAAAAGGACCAATTAAAGTGGCACCAAGGAAAAAGTTCCGTTGTCCCGAATGTGTCAACGGCGGAATGTTATCCAAAGATGTACTTTATCATTTGAATGCTCGATCAAAGTGCATCAATGAATTTACAGAAATTTATGGCTACATGCCTTTGGAAACCGTTGAATTCAGGGCAGATCCAGTTCTGTTTAAGGATAATCTCCCGGAGAAGTTGAAAAAGTTTCATCACATTGGTAATCTTTAAATTCAAGGGAAGTTTAAATCTGATTACAAATCCAAGGTGACAATTAATTTCCCGTCAACAATCAGCATGATACATGTAAATATACTTTCTACAATAATCTAGTCTCTCTTTTTTAATATCTGCCAAATTATCTTGATATACAAAATTTACTGAGGCCAAACTGTATTATAATCATACCTCTAATCATTTTGATTAATTTTAACTCACAAATTGCCACAAATTAAATGCTAACAATTTATCATGACACAACATATGATATATTTGAACCAATTTTTTCTCTTTTATCTTTTAAATTAATTTATTAATATTTGGTTTCTTTTTACACATTTTTGGTTCTTTCTTTGATTAATTAGAATTAGCAGCAACTATTAATTGTTTCAACTGTTTAATTACAGTATCGACTAATTTTCTTTTATCTCGCTCATTCTTCTTTAACGAAGCAAAAATGTTACGATTTTTATCCGCTTCCTTAATCTTTTCGAGTAGATTAAGAGCAACCTGAGGATTAACTCGTAAATATTTACTATCTTGTTTACCATAATCAGCAATATAAGTTGACCATTGCCAAGTGAGAAGGAGATCAACTAATTGTCTTAATTCAGCGAAACACATTTGAAGTGTATTGTCTTCGAAACCTTTGACTGGCTCAGAGTTGGCGAAAAATTCACATTGTAACAGGTCGAGATTAAATTGTTCTAATGCTCCCATTGAAATCGCTTTGACATCTTCGTCGAGTAGAAAATTGATCAAAGATGAGGCCATGTGTTTACAGGCCGAAACACAGGCCGTTTGGGCAACTTTAAGAGGTAAATTGGTGAATGCTTGAAATGTCGAGGTTAAAAATTTGATGAGATCGGTAATATAAGAAGAGGCAACACCCGATGATTCAACCAACAGCCAATCATAATCAGCAATGTCCAAAAATTCATCGATTTTTTTATTAAGCAGAAAGTATATTTGAGATTCAGCGTCAGATCGAGCATCTTTGAACATCGAGCTTCCTTGAAGTTTGGCAAGATGTGATCCACCGGCTAATTCACCAACGGTAGTTGTCGAAGCGCCAATTGGTGAACCAAGTCCAGTGGCCTGTAAGGGTTGAGAAATATATTCCTCCAAGAAACTCATTGAGTCTTCCAGGTAATTGGTGTTTATCGCGATTTGTATTAACTGAAGTAAACCAAGGCTCGGTTTCTTAATTAGAACAGATAAACAGCCGGAAAGAGTTCGAGTAAGTAAAAGATTAGTTGACTTTCGGACCATATCCTCGATTTCAGTTTGACTTATATTAAGATCTTGTGAGAATTGTCGACAAGCGTTAATGAAACGCTTCACTTGGGTGAAAACTTTGGGTACAAACAATGAGAAAGGAAATTTTTTAGGATAATCAGAATCACCGGTTGAAATTACTTCACCCTCATAATAAGGGAATTCACTGATTATCTTATCATATTCAGATTGAGATTCAACTTGAATTGGATGATAATTATCACCATCGAAAATTGATCTAAACAATGAACACCATTGTTTCATTAAAATCTCATTATATTGATCACGAATTTCAATGAGTAGATTGAAAAAAGGATTAACATTGTAACCATAACTTTGAAGTGTTTGACTGAACAAAATGATAATCCGTTTGATTTGGAGCATCAGATTTTCATCAGTACAATACGATGAATAGGTTCGTAGCGAGGCGATCACTGATTGTAGAGCGTTTTCCCAAACTTCGTCAAGATATGATTTAGTTACCAAACCGGGAGCAGTATTGAGAATATGATTTTCGATGACAAAAAATCCAACAACACCACAGAAATAATTCTTGTAACCGTCAATGTTTTCGTGCATGTTGATCGGAGGTTGAAGGACAAGTTTAGCCTGTTGTTGTCTCTGTTGGCGGTAATATATTTCAAACAGTTCACGAGCACCAAGACAGCCGAAAATGTGAAGACACCGATAGACCGGTGAAAAATCAACAATATCGGTTCCTTTTAATTCATCTTCAGTTGATATTCCGTTTCTGGTGAAATCTGAATCTGATTCACTGTCAATCTCATCTAAATCATCTTCAATTGAAGATGACATTGTTGGTGGTGGTTTAGGGGCTCGATGTTTCTTTCGTGGGGTAATCAATGGGGCATTCGCTGAGGTGACATTGTTTAAATTGTTCATCGATGTTGAATTCAGCGAGACAATTGTTGGTAACTTTTTCCCCGTAACTTGGTGACTTGGACTGTTGGTGGAACTGTTTTCATTGGATGAAGAGTTACTCGCACTGTTAGAACTGCTTGTTAATAAAGTATCTTCAATATTCTGTTGATGAGCAGCATTTTTCATGGCAATTTCTCCAATTTGTGATGATAATTTTCTAACATTTTCCAGGAAATCCTTCAAATCTGACATGGATGCTTCCTTGATCTGCTCACGAATCTGTGGTATTTTATCCCTCATCGATTGGGCAAATCGATAATTATTGATAATAAAATCACATAACATTTCCAATTACCATTAAAACCATCAGAATCAAAATCACCAATTGTTGCTAATGATGAGCCAAATCGAGATCCGAAAAGTGAATCTCCATCAATGGTGATTGGCGACTCATTTAATTGTTGACCATCACTGAAATAAACATAGACTTGACCACAATCGCCCCTTGGGTTATTTTTAGGCATATAAAAAGGTGCACCAATTAGTAAATCATCATAACCATCAGCATTCAAATCAATTGATTGGATTGAGTAACCAAAATATTCACCAAGTTGATGACCATCTAGATCTTGAATAATTTCACCATAATCATCTGAATTTGGTGACATGATGATAACCTAATATTATTTTCAATATAATTGTTGATTAATCGTATAATTTGGTTAGATAATTTTTAAACTTACTTGGCCTTTTAATTGTTTTCCTCTTGGAGCACCAACAACAATTAACTCAACTCTCGATTTGAAAAAGATTCCAGTTGCTAATGAATAACCAAGGTAAGAATCTTGATCCAATTCTTTAATTGTGTTTACTGTTATGTTTGCTGATTGTTGGTGATTTAAATTGTTGGTTAGTGATAATATTGCTCCACGGAAAATATCAAAACCAGGAATTCCGAATACAATTGAATCAGAATTGTGATTGAATGTCGATGAGAAACCAAACATTTCATGAGATTGCAAAGATTTGAATGACGTTTTTTTAATTGAATTTGAAGTCAATGCTAAATTGTTTGGTAGGAAATTGTAATTAAATAAAATCTTATTGTCAATTACTTAGTCTACTTACATTTTCTGCTTCGAGGTGATAATATTTTCACCAATTTATCGTTAATTGTATCAACTAGGAAACAAATAAATAATAATAATAATAATAGGAAAGAGAAAGAGAGATAGAGGAATTTAATTGCCATAATTATCCTCATTCTCATCATCATGGCAACGGCCGTTTGTTTAAGAGTGGGAGTGGGAAATAGATGACAAGGTATTGACATTGAACAAAGAGACAAGAAACAAAATATAATCATATGTATATTAGATGAGGATGATGATGGCAAATCATTGTTTTGTCTTCAAGTAAATTGTAATTAAACAAATTAGTCAAATGCAAAGGTGATTCCTTGGTGGTTGTTGAGGGTTCAGCAGATTCATTCATCTCGATGTTGATGCATTTCAATTACAATTTTAAACTTTTTCTGATTCTTCATTGAGAAAAGTTTTTCTGGCAAGACAATTAAGTTTATATTATCAAATTAAGGAAAACAATCAGGGAGTGTAAGAGAAAGGCAAAGGCTATTAAGATGAACTTGAATTAGATTCTTGTCTTTTTCTTGGAAAACCAAAGGCTAATTAACAATCAATTGTATAGATTAATATATTAATTGTAGTTATGATATTATCTTATAATATTTATAATTGTTTGTTTTTTTTTATCTTCTTATTAAATAGCATAATATGTAAACAAGTTTCCATAAGTGTTAATTATGTTTCTTATTTGGTTGTGAACTTTTTGTTGACTTAAATTGTTTAATTAGTTAACAGTTAACATGTTAATTATTTAGTTGCATTTCCTGTAAATATCTTCGAGATAAGATTCGTATGTAATTATCACCCAATATATATCAAGTTCCCAATAATAGAAACGAATGAAATGTCATTAAAGAGTAATAGAGAAGTAAGAATTAATATTCAATCATATTTAGATGATAACTGGATCATCTCCTTATGATTAAGTAATAATCAAAGAAATTGTTATGATAATTATGAGTTAATTGTTTTTACAAATTGTTTCAATATTTAGTAAGATGAATTGAGCTTGTAAATGCATCTGAGCATGTAAATGTAATGAGATCTAAACACAATGGAACAAAAAAAAGTGTGAAAAATTTAATTATCGATTTGATGGTCGATTAGATTGAAATAAAAAAAAGTTTATTTCGATAACCAATTGAGTCCATGATTTGAATTCTGACCGGAACCCTGAACGGTAATCCAACGGGGAGAAGAAGCAGAAGTTTCCGGTTCATCATGATGAGATGAAGAGTAACTTAAATAAGATAATCGGTCATCGATTGTTGGTCGAGGTTCTAATCCGTCAAGTAAAGGTGATAGATGGTTAATCGGACGAGAACGAAGCTTCTGATTGAATGGACTGTTGATATAATTGATTAGATTACCAGGCCCTCCAGTTGATCCACTGATTGAGTCCATCATTCCAGGTAGAAGGGGCATTTTACTTGTCGATTTCATGATCAGATAAGGAATCGCGACAAGTGATCGAGTTTGTTTGTTGTAAAAATAAATTGGAGAAACGAACATTCGTTGGACGGAAGTGTTGGCATTGACTTCGAAATCAATTTTTGATCAATTTTCATGAGGAGGTACAGCTGAAAGCTACGAAAACTGAGAAATTATGCGTATAAGATGTACGCATAATTTTTCTATTTGTATAAAAGAACAATTGGTTAGAATTTTTGGTCTTATTAATTATGTACTTTTAATTGTTTCAATGTAAATGATAATTCATTGATTACATGATAAGAAAGAAAAAGAAAATTGACAAACAGAACAGAGGAACATAAAAAGCATAGAACTTTGTATCAATTTGTTTGGATAAGATTTTCTTCTCGTTCTAATTTGTTTTATTTGTTCAATACACTTGATGGTTGTGGGTAAATTCAGCACAGATTTAATTATTGGAAGCATTGTAATTGTCAATATCAAGTAATCGCTTTTTGATACTGGATTTGATCCTTCTACGTTTTGTAGTTTTTTCAATAAAATCGCACTGTTTGTTGTAAGCTGTAAAGGCTGAATCACGAGACCACTGAAATCATCTTTTTCTTGGATAAGATTCAACAATACGGCTAACAATGACCAATCAATGAGAATTGATAGTCGTCGCCTGTAAATAGCTTCAACAAGATATTTTTGATCTGCATTCAGTTCAGGTAAACTTGGTTCTTGTTCAACATGACGCTCTAATTGTAAGTTCTCAACACCGGCGGTTAGATGGCCAATTGGCTTTTGAGTCTCGCCGGTGGACTGATCGATTGATTCCAGATCACACAAATATCTCTGTCTCCAACGATCGTAAATAGGATCGGAACACTTAACCATATAAAATTCTTTATAAACTCTACTTGCGACTGCAGGAGTCCATTGAGAATGAATAATATCTATGATATTGAACATAAACACCAACGCATCTAAAGGTAACGGAGCACCGAATGGGCGTTTATACAAAATCATTAACATCTTCAATTGTTCGTAGTTAACAGTCATCTAATAGACAAAAAGAAACAAGATAATAATAAAGATGCGAGAGAGAGAGAGAGAGAGAGAGAGAGAGATAGAGATAGAGAGACTCGAAGACTCGATTATATAAAAGTACACTCACTTTTGAAGCACAATTTGTCTATTAATTCAACACTTGAAACTAATTATAAAAGATTAATTCACCGACATTACTAATAATAATATTAAAGGTTATTCATAGCATATACACGGAAACTGGCCTTTAAGATGGCTGATGAAGATGAGACAGAGGAGCTGAGTGAGCGCAAAAGACGGAGAGGTATTCAGTCAGGTACAAAGTGTAGCTAGAATTTTACCTCTAGTGACTAGAGTCTAGTCCAAAAAAGAGGGAAATTTGGATGATCTGGTGATGGCGGTACAGAAACTTGTTTTTAAAGTTTCAAAGCAGCAGAAAGAAAGAAAGAGAGAGAGACAATTATTTTCAAGATAATAATCAAGAGAGAGAACGAGATGAAACTTAATTCGTTAGAAGAATTTTTTTCTCATCAATAATGTAACTTTAATTGTTTCGATGTTAATGATAATTCATCGATTACATGATAAAAGAAAGGAATGAAATAAAATTGACAAGAAAACAGAAAGAGAAACATAAAAAGTATAAAACTTTTGTATCAATTTGTTTGGTTGAGATTTTCTTCTCGTTCTATTTGTTTCATTTTTTCGTAACTTGAAAGAGTGTGGTAGTTTGTTTTGTTTTCTTCAGCAAAATAAGTTATTATTACATTTTTACCGTTATCAATGGGTTGAGCTTAGTTCAGCTTACCAACCCAATAAACAACAAATAATCTTATACTTGTTTATCAAAATAAATCACGTAAACGTCACACCAATAGGTTAACTAACAAATGGCAATAGTTTATCACATCACAAGGGTTGGGTATCAGTTTCTAGCATGAATTTGATGTCTAGACGATGATGATCAGGTTGCAATGAAACTTTTACGATATATTTATTTTTCCTCCTTTCTTGGTGGTGGGTAGAGGAGGAGAGGAAGAGGAGTTATGGTGGTACGAGCTATAATAATGATGCAATATTATCAAAGGTGAATTTGGAGAAATGACAAAAATCAGTCAAGAATGAAAGAAGATGATTTTGATGATGATGATGATGATGATGATGATGGCGAGGAGGAAAAGGAGGAGGAGGTGGTGGTGAGGAAGATGAAGAGGACAAGGAAGAGGAAAACAAATTCAGCTAAAGTAAACGGAAATCAGGTTAACTAGGTTATCATGGTGAGAGTCTTGAGTTTTATCTCAGAATTTTTTTTTCTCGGAGTCAATCCTGAGTTTTTATCTCTTAACAGCATGATAAATTTCATAATAATAATCATAACAATCAACTTGTTAGTTAGTTTGTGAAGATATTTTTTTCCTCTCATTTTCTTATTCATCCTCTGTCTCTTTTTTCCTGAAATTTTATCTTTTTTTCTTCTTCTTTATTGAATGAGAAATATTGTTACAATGACAATCTGAATTAACTATCTGACTTTGTTTCCTTTTTCATCTTCATCCTTTACTAAAGTAATAAACTAATATCATCTCTCCCTAACTCACTCTCTCACTCACTCTGACCTTCTCTTTCTTATCAAAACATTTTGTAACAATTTCACTTTGAGACTATTTCCTTTCTTTTATTATTATTTTCATTTGTTCAGAGCATCTTACTGAACCATCTTGACCACTTTCTACTGTCCACTAGAAAAGAATTGATGAGAAAACTAATTGGTGTCCAAAAGTTTTCTCCTCATCTTATCGTAACAACTTAAAGTCTGATGGTGAAAATTTCCACCAAAGTTCAGGGTTTGATGATCTGTAAAAGTTTCACGAACTTGGAAGGAATAAAAGTTTGTTTCATCGAGTCTAAATTGTTTCAGGTTGGATTATCATTCTCAAAGTTCTTGATTCTTTTACATGGGGGAAAACAGAAGACGAAAAAGTTTTCTATCATTCTTCCCAAATATAATGTAATAATAATTCTTGAAACATCGTCATAATACAGCATCATCATAATACACTGATAACGATAATGAAACATGTAATATTATTACCTTTAGAAAAAAAAATAGTGAGTATAAACTTATCTGCTCATCTGATTTCATGGTGAGATTTACAATAAAATCCTTTGAGCTTTTCAATTGGTATCATGATATCTCATCATTATAATCATCCTATTCATGTTGTTCAACATGTTATCGTTTAGATTCACTCATTTCTATCTGATTATATCCATGATAAAAGTTACACCAGCTTAATAGTAAATACAGTTGAAATTATCACACATTCAGTAGGGAAATTTTTCTCATGATAAATTCAGAATCAATATAGATTTGAGAAGATACAATTTATCTCATAGATGTTTATAAACCCACAATGAATCATTATTAAAATCTTGATAACAATATATCAGAATTTTTTTATCATCATTTTGACAGGAGAAGAGAGGGAAAGAGAGAAAGAGAGAGGAAAATATGAAATTCGATATTTAGAAAAAGAAAAAAAAGTCCATCGTTTCTTTTGCAAGTTAATTCAGAATTTTTCTTT